TTTTCCACAAAGACTGTTGGTTGAATAAGCATCATCATTGCTTTGGCAATCTATCTGAAACATAGCAGGCACTCAAAACAAAACAAAGCAACACCAAGACAACTTGAATAAGAGAAATGATTGAAATGCTGGCAAAAGGAAACAAAATTTTTCATTAGAAAACTTAGATATTAGAGAGGTTTTTGTAACTCCAAACATAATAAGAAAGATGATGTAAAAATAATGATGATATTTTCAAAACAGCACTTTCTAGTTACAAAAAGTGAAATTGCTTAGTAGAAAACACTTGGAAAACATAGAGCAGTGTTTCTCCACCTTTGAATGGCTGACATCTTGGGGTGGTTGGTGTCTGGTGTGTTGTAGGTTGTTCAGCAGCAGACCTCGCCTCTACCCACTAGATGCCAGTAGCACTCCACACCCACAATCAGTATGACAACCAAACAGGTCTCCAGATACTGCTAAATGTCTCCTGAGGGCAAAAATCACTCCAGGCTTTGAACCACTAAAATAGAGGAATTACCAAAGTCACCTGTAATCCTACCATCTAGAAATGTAAACTTTTGTTTGTATAAATAAAAATTACAAAACAATCACATTGAACTTACCATTCTATAGTTAATTTATATTTCACTCAGTAATACAGCATCAACATTTTGTTATGTAATGTTCCTATACAGGAACAGTTTGGTAGTGCGAGTACCTTAACAATAACAAAAGCATCCTAATTACTCCCTCCCTTTCCTTGTATTATTGCTGTCATTCATTTCACTTATATAAAAGTATGTACATATGTATATATACATATATATATATACACCGTATTTGCCGGCGTATAAGACGATTTTTTGGCCGTGAAAAATATGCCTCCAAGTGGGGGGTCGTCTTATACGCCAGGTACACTTCAGATAGACTGCCCATAGTGCTTGCCCGTGCCATAGTTGCCTCCCGATGCCCGCCCACTTCATTCCACATACCGTTCAGGCATCAGCAGCGCTGCTGGGTGTATGCTCGGCTGTTATGCGATT